ACCCGAGCCAATACAGAAGGCAACAGTCAATGGTCATCACGGAAAACATCATTCTGGGGGCAGCTGCGAAAATTCTGGAGGTAAGGATTCCTTGTGGGGTCTCCAAAAGGACCTTATGTATTATAACCACCTACTTACAAATTTTGATTAGGTTGAATTACCCACAATCTTCCAGTTTTCTGAGTGCCGGCCGTCGACACAGTAGGGATTGGATGATTGCATTGAACTGCAGAGGGTCACCGGGAGGCCACCACATACAATGACCGCTTAAGTCAGTACATTGAGCAAAATGGCTTTGCTAATTAGCTACGGGAATAATCGCTTACTTACAAATTTTAAGTAGGGTGAATTCCACAATCTTCCATTTTCTTTACTCGTTCGTCCTTTATTCTAGTTGGGGTTAGCGTTACTACTAGAAAGTGTACCTTAATGACCTCGCCCGAGGTTTGGGCACACTCCCCCGACATGCACGCGCTCGCCGTTGGTCCGGTGGGGGTTAGCGATGATATTGAAGCTCATTTCAGTGTCCCCGCCCGAGGTTTGATTACGCGCCCCAACTTACCCTCGTAACTTTTTTATTTTGCGCTATTATTAAGATCTAATTTGTTCCCTGGCATGGCCGACCGACTCTCCTAAAATCAGGTGCCCGTGAGATTGAGGGGCACGCTTCACGCGCCCCCCAGGCGGCCTCACGAGGTACTCCTACTATTCTGGGATATACACAGCGACTGGGTCAGCGGCCGAACCCCTGGAGTTTTCCGCTCATACAGCTCTAGGCAGGTGCCGTTGTGAGGATTCTCTCCGCCAACTCAGAAAGATGACTGCAAAATCGACTAGGGACGACCGGAAGAAATACTGAATTGAAAAAACGACATCCATGGAATGTGGCTTGGACGTTGGTGATACTCGAAAACTCTACAACTTGATACGTAAGGTTACTGATAAGCTCACTTCACCGAGTGACTCAATTCGTGGCGTGAATGGCGGCCTTATTTTTTACAATCCAACCAAGGTCGAGCGATGGCGTGAGCACTTCGACCATATCCTCAATTTCGATACCCAACCCAACACCTCCCTGCTCCCATCAACGGCGGAGTCTTTCCCCTCTTACCTATCCAGTGTCATGCGACCGGTCTTCTGAAGGAGAAGTCGCTGACGCCACACAAAATCTGCGCAACAACAAGGCACCCAAAGAGGATGGCATACCCGCTGAAATCTAAAAGTCTTGTGTCGACACTCTGACGCCTTGGCTCCTTGAGGCAATTGGACAAGCGTAGCGAGACGAGGCCGTTCCTGTTGGCTGTGGTTCAGCCGTCCTTGTCCCTGTTTACAAGAAGATGGATAAAACAAGATGCGAAAATACCGCAGCATAAGTCTTATTGACGTTGCTGCGAAGGTCTTAACTATTATCCTTCTTAGACGGTTCAAGTCTGTGCGGGACTCTAGGACGAGGCCCAACCAAGCCCGATTCCGTGCTGGACGTGG